ATCATTACTCCCATTACTGTTTCTGAAGGGTTATCCATCCTGCATTGAAACATCTTTATATATATATGTATATATATATAAAACTTTCTTCTTCTTTCCTTTTTCTTTTTTTCCGTGGAGGCTGTATGTCTTTATGGGAGCAGAAAACTCTGTCTTTCTCCCATGGATTGGATGGCGATTTTGAACTGCTGACCTTGTGGTTAGCATCCCAGTGTCTAACGCACTATGTCCAGGGCTCCTAACTGTGTCCCCAGGCCAACTCTTCCAGGCCCTGTGACCCCACAGTGCCATTTACCCAACAGAGCGTCTTATTTCTAGGCACTTAGGAGCCCTGGTGGCATAGGGCTGCTGGCTGCAAGGTCAGCAGTTTGAAACCACCAGCTGATCTGCAGGAGAAAGACGAGGCTTTCTACTCCTGTAAAGAGTCACAGTCTCACAACCCCACGGGGCAGTTCTCCCAAGCCTGTAGGGTCGCTGTGCAGTGTAATCAAACTGGTCGGCAGTGAGCGTTCTTGATTTTGAGAGATGCAGGCATAGGAAGACAAAGTGGTCCAGTAAGTAACTATTAGGTAAATCAACGAAGAATGGAATATAGTGATTGAAAATTTTAAAAGCTGTGTCTCCTGGGTTGTCCTCCTGGAAGCGCCCATGTCTGGTGCCCACTGTGGGTGGTCGGGAGGGTCTGTCAACGGCCTGGCACCGGCATTTCGGGACCAGAGGCTCAGTGCCATTGACAGTGAAGGCCGCGCCTTGTCCCAGCCCGCCCCCAAGAGCTCACAGCCCTGCATCACCATTGACAATGCCCCGTGCACACAGTGCCTCTCACTGTGTCTGACCCTGGACGGCCTTCCCGTGAGAGGAAGCCCAGGACTGGCGTCTCCATTCAGCCTTTGCCTGTCGGTGGCCTGTGTCAGCTGCTGGTCAGCCCCCAGTGACCAGGGTTGCGGAAGCAGTGCAAAGCCGGGCCGTCTCTTGCTGATGCTTGCAGAAGGCTCGCTTCCTGGCCATCCCAAGTGGCCGGCGGCCTTTCTGGGATGGCATTGTTCTTTTGCCACCACCCAGGGTCACATGCTGACAAGGCTCACTGTCTTCTCCCATGAGGAGGGCCTGTCCTCTGACCAAGGACACTGCACGGAGCTGGGCGGCAGGCACCTGGACCTGTGCCACCTAGGTACACCGGCTGTCTGCCCCAGTGGGGTGAGCTGTGCAGAGCCTGCGCTGTGTCGTGCCCTGCCTGACCACCCGAGGGCTGGTCAGTCTATGTGAACTAGGCCACCTGAAGTCAGGTCGTTGCCTTCTCTTCTGTGGCCGGCAGGCAGTTCAGACGGAGAGCGGGGACTTGGCCCGGGATGCCTGTCCCATCCCTCCCCCAGCCCTGGCTCTTTGACCCCGCCTGCCCTGCTCTGCTCGCAGTCGGGGTCACCAGTGCACCTCCTTGCTCCTTGGGTGCTGGAGTTTGTCCCCTCTCTCTACAGGCAGCCACGCCTTCACCAGCCGGCTGCCTGAGTTGGCCCGCCCACCCATCTAGTCCTATCTGTCCATCTATAGCAGTGCTCTGGCTCAGGGCCCTGCCTCCGGGGGTTGAGCAGAAGCAGAAAAGCCTGTTTCTCTCTGTTTAAGCTGGTCTCTGTGAGGTAGACCAAGATAATGGAGCCTTTATAAACAGAGCAGCCAGTAGATACCAGTCTGCCACCCCCTGAACCTGCCGAGCTCCGGTGAGTAGTGGCCAGGCCCTGCCAGGCTCCCACCTTCTGTGTCTTCTGGGTGTCTCAGGGTGCCCGTGAGACCAGCAGGGGTTTCTCACAGGGAGATGTCCTGTCCACGTCAGGGAGGTGGGGAGCTGGGGGAGAGAGCAGGGAACTTTCCATCGCCTGAAAGAAGCTGGAGAGGGCTGCTGCGGGGTTGAGGCGACCAGTGCACCCTGACTGGGTGGAGGACCTGCCAGGAGTCGAGTCTTCCCTGGCAGAGCTGAGACCAGGCAGGCAGCACAGGGCACTGCCCCCGGTCTGCATCCAGTGACCAAACTGCCCCCCCACCCCAGCCCAGAAGACCCTCCAAGACCAGCAGTGCCCCCGTGGGGCTTCTGACGACACCATCCCATCTTCCAGGCCAGGGTGTTGGGGCTGTGCTGGGGACATTTGATGTGATGGGGTGCCTGCCGGGTGGCCTGAGGGCCAACAAACACAAACTGCCCGCTTGCGGGCCCCAAAGCTGTCCAAAGCCAGCAGTCTTACAGCAACCGAAGACCACATCTCTTCCTCCCAGAGACCAGAGGGCTTGAACCACCGATCTGTCGGTCGGCAGCTGAGCACTGTGATCACTGCCCCGTCAGGCCCCCTTGTGAGCGTGCAAGTAACTGTAACACACGCGTGTGAAGGAAGAGTGACAGCTCCACACACAGCGACCCAGAGCAGGGGCCTGTACAGGGCAGGGCTCCTGCGTAAAGGCAGGTCCCGGCATGGACAGCAAGGCTGAGACGGGCAAGGGCCGCGCCCCACTGGACTCCTGTCCAGACCAGCCCTCAGGCCTGTCTCAGAGATCTGTGGCACAGGGGACCTGGGCTCCTGGCCCCTCCTCCTCACAGGACCGTCCTTCAGGGGGGCTGCGACTCTCACTCCCCTTTCCCCGGGCAACGTGAAAACAAAGACACACACACATGCTCCCTCAGGAGGGCTGGTGTCAGAGCAGAGCCTGCTGGGCGGCAGAGGACCTACTGGGAGCCAGCCCACTGTATATACGAGTAGCTTCTGCTGGTTTTGCAGAATCTGTCCCGGAGCTGGACTGGAGGGCATTCACTCCTAGAAATGAATCCTGTGATGCCTGAGGCTGGAGCGCCGGAGGCTCGCTAGCACCACCTCCTGGACAGTGCCCCTCATGACGAGGTGGACTGTCTTCTGCTCAGAACTTAAACCTCAACCAAAACCAAACCCGCTGCCGAGGAGTTGATTTCAGAGCACAGGACTGAGAACAAATACTCAGTTGTGACCCACAGGTTGAGAACCGCTGTCTGAGAGGTTCCAAGACTGCCAGTCGTTATGGGAGCAGACAGTTTCACCGTTCTCCCCAGGAGCCACTGGTGGGTTTGAACCAATAACCTTGCAGTTAGACCTTAAAAACCTAACTCACTGCTATCAAGTCAATGCCGACTCATAGCAATGACTCCCTTGCTGGTTTTCAAGACAGGACTGTCTATGGGAGTAGAAAGCCCAGTCTTTCTCCCAAGGAGCCCTCCCAAGGAGCCGCTGGTGGTTTCGAACTGTCCACCATTCGGATCACAGTCCAACACTTAAGCTTATGCCACCAGGGCTCCCCAACACTTAACCCACTAAATGACCTGGACTCCTTTTCAACCACTCCTGGGGGAAACAAGCGGAGGAAAGGGGAGGCTGTATCTTCCCATCACGATTTGCAGCCTCGGGAACTCTCCACAGGATGGACAGGGAGGGGTTGGACTCAGCTCGATGACAGTGGTTTGACTTGGTTTGGCTTTCAGAAAACAAAACAGGGAGTTGGGGGAGCTATTGTGTCATGGGCACTGAGCTTCCGTTGAGGCGATGAAGACGTTTTGGAAGCAGGAGCCCTGGTGGTGGTGCTGAACCTCAAGGTCAGCAGTTTGAACCCACTGGCCGACTTTGGGGAGAAAGGTGAGGTTCTCTGCTCCCATAAAGACAGAACGTCACAGAATCCCCGAAGGGCAGGGCTACAGGGTCATCATGCGTCAGAACCAGCTCCGTGGTGGCGGGTGTTGTTGATGGCCACATAGCACGTCGATGTAATTCATGCTAGTGAGATGTACTATATTTTATCATGGTAAAAAGTTTTTTTAAAATCATACATAGCAAAAACCCATAATTGTTATACCCAATAGCTTCGACATTCAAAACTATGAGGGGCAGGGGTTTGGGCCTCGCACTGCCAAGGGCTGGAAAGAGTGTCCCTGAGACAAAAACCCAGGCTCTCTTACCCCTAGTGTGACTCACACCCAGAGGCCACAACCCCAAGCCCCCTTCCCGCCCCTCCAGAGGCTCTCCCTCTCTCCTCGCAGGCCCCTCTTCCCAGCCTGTCCTCTGGGCCCATGTGGAGGGGAGCGTTGGCTGGGGAGGAGCTCAGTGTCCAGGGGAACAGGTGGACTTGAGAGTCTTGGCCAGTGACCTCCACTCCCACAGCTGCAGCCACCAGGGGGAGCTCCTGCACAGCCTGCCCCAGGATTGCTGGACCCTTTACACCTGGGCTTCCAGCTGGAGCCCAGCAAGAGAGCAGAGCCCGGGCAGGCCCAGGGGCACCCATGCTTGGGGGAAGGGTGCAGAGAAGGGTGGTAGAAGGAAGGAGGGATAGGAGAGAATCCCTGCGCTGGTCCCCATGAGCGGGGGAGGGTGGGACCCCTGAGAGATGGGAACTGACTGGGCAGAGAAGAAAGCTGGGGTGTGGGGCCCACAGATGGGACGGACTGTCAGCGCTCACTCGGGTGGTTCATCCAGGCACCATCTGCGCAGCCTCCTTCCCGCGCCCTTTATTCATGTAGTCTAACTTTTCATTGTGAGTTAGCTGTGGTTCACGTCTCAGACCATGAGCCTTTTTGCCACCGACGACACCTTTCCAAGCCTCCCGGGAACACACACTCCCTGCCCTCCCCTCACTGTGGTTGCCCCAGCCTCTGGCTTCCCTTCCTTTTCCGCTCAGGGCACCACAGGGCAGTGCTGCGGGCTCTCCTTCTGGGTTTTCTGCTCATACAGGGGTCCCAGCACAGAGGTCCTGGACCTGACGCCTCTCCCAGACCCGCCCCTGGAGTGGAGCATGCCCGAAGAGCCCTGCCACGGTGGGAGCAGGCTGCCAGCAAAGCTGGCCTGGGGGGAACCCACCAGCAACGTCGTTTGAAGACGTACTTGTCCTTTGCTAAACAGGCGCTGTGACTTTAAACATGAGGTGTCAGGGGAAGAAGTGGCCCCAGGGTGAGTGGGAGCCACTGGTGAGGGCTGACCTCTGACCCCACCCACCCACAGGCGGCCTCTGCCTTCGCCCTGCTGCTGCTGCTGGAGGGAGGCATGTTCTCATCGCCCGAGTCGCGCTTGGACCTGCTGGACCAGGTGGCCCGGTACATTGAGGCGCACCAGGAAGAATTCGTGCAGGTGGGGAGCAAGCCAAGGCTGCGGGCGCCTGACAGCTCAGTCTTTCTCGAGGATGCACTCTGATGGAGTGTGGGTGGGGTTCTGTGAGCTGGCCTATTAGCCATCACTCCTGTAAAGGAGGACAGAGGTCCAGGGCTGACCATCCACCTCACTGAGCTCACGCTGGCCAGGACTACCAGAGGGTCCCCTCCTGGCTCAAGGGCACCTTCCCCCTAGAGCAGTGGCTCTCAGCCTTCCTAAGGCACGACCCTTTAATACAGCTCCTCATGTTTTGGTGACCTCCCAATCATAAATTTATTTTCGTTGCTACTTCATCACTGTAATTTTGCTATTGTTATGAATCAGGTGACCCCTGTTGTTGAACCCCCAAAGGGGTCACGGCCCACAGGTTGAGAACCGCTGCCCTAGAGCCAGCCCCACCTCTACCCCCATGAGACTGCCTGGCACTTGGCCTGCCGAGTGCCACAGAGCAGGAGAACCAGGGGTTCCACATGCCAGGGCAGGGCCAGCACCTGCTGCTTCAGGCAACAGGTGCCCCTGCCCTTGACCTCCCCCTCTTCCACGTCCTCTGCTCTGTCCTTCATTCGCAGAGGGAGAGAGAGAGAGAGAGACAAAGTATACGTTTGCGTACACACACCCCTACATCTACATGCTTGATTCTGGAGGCCAGGGAGGTGCAAACGGTCTCCAAGGCTGGTCCTTTGAACGTGCCTAGAGGCCTGGTGACCCCTGTCCTCAAGGTCATGACCTTGAGAGTCCTGTGGAACAGCTCTCCTCTGCAGCCTGGCGTGGTCCGCCCTCAGAGCGGCTGCACCGCTGTTGTCTCCTGGGGAAGCCTCTGTCTGCATACCCATGGGGGGTGGGGGGGGGCAGGCTGGACACAGGCAGGGAGAAAAGCAGAAGTGTGGACCCCACCCTGCAGGTGCTCCCTATGCCAAATGCCTGGTGTCCCCCCAACCTGCACTCTGCGTGCTCACGCCTGCCCTGCTCAGTGCCCCCCCCCTCCCCACCCGGCTGGCTCTCCTGCAGACGCTGAGGGACTGGGTGGCCGTGGAGAGTGACTCTGTCCAGCCGGTGCCCCGGCTCCGACAGGAAATCTGCAGGATGATGGACATGGCAGCAGACAAGCTCCGGCGCCTGGGAGCCAGCGTGGACACTGTGGACATGGGTACTCAGCAGGTCACTGCTGCTGGGGGTGAGGGTTGGGGGGAGCACCTTGCCCAGAGGGGTGGCCCCTCGGGGCTGGGCCTCAGTGGGAATGCCCTGGGCCTTTAATCAACAAGGACGCTGTATTCAGGATAAGGACTAAGGACGAGGGCTCTCCTGCACTCCAGGTGGCTGTGGGAGCCGTCTCTGGTCAGGGAGATCTCTGGGATGTTGTCAGGAGCCTAGGAAGGTGGCAAGTCCCGCCTAATCTGCACCCCTCCCTCTGCACTTCAGGGGGCAGGCCTGTCCCAAGCGCCCCTTTCCTTACATGTAAATACATCTCAAAGGTGCCTTGCTCAGAGCCTCCCTGTGAAGGTCTGAAACCCTAGGTTGACGTCCCCTGCCCAGGTGAAGGGGTCCCCAAGCCATCTGACCTGGCTCCCCCTGAGAGTCACGTTCTCGTGGACAAGATTGCCCAGTTCCCTTTGTCCACGGGCCACTGGGGGAGGGCGGCAATACGTTTGAAATGCCCTGCAGCTCCTAGTGAGCAAAATGGGGGCCCAGAGAACCACGTGCTCTTCACTCAGGTGCGGCAGGATGGTCAGGCCAGGCCTGGACGTCTCCTCACATGCCCCCTTCTCCTCCCGCAGCTTCCTGATGGTCAGAGCCTCCCGATTCCTCCCATCATCCTGGCCGAGCTGGGGAATGACCCCCAGAAGCCCACCGTGTGCTTTTACGGCCACTTGGATGTCCAGCCCGCTGCCAAGGAGGATGGGTGGCTGACAGAGCCATACACACTAACAGAGGTGGACGGTCAGTGAGGGGCCACGGCCAGGCTGTGCTTCTCCGGAAAAGGGGTCACACCTCTCTGTCGGGTGGATGAGGGGCTGTAATCCTGGCTCCAGCCTTGGGCAGCTCCCCTGGTCAATGAGCTTGATTCACAGGTGAAGGGCATCGGCCCGTGGGCGTCCCTGGGTGAACTGACTCCCCAGGCAGGGCTGCGGGTGTGAGAAGCCATGCCTGGAGGTCCTCAGGTTTCCTTCCCGAGAACACTGGGGGTCCTTTGAGTTTTGTCAGGGCAAGGAGGGAAGAGAAAGGTTGCTGGAGGTGCCCTGGAGGGACTTGCTGCGCCCACCAGATGGCCCCACGAACCTGCATGAGCTAGCTAGTTACCTTGAGAGCCTGTTTCAGGTGACTTGCTAGCTGATGGCAGCCACCTTTACATGTGAGAAGTGAGACCACCTAGGCCAGGCTGGTGCCTGGGAAAAATCAGACCCCACTGAAGCAGTCATCCCCGAAACGGCGCTGTGGCCATTGATTTAACACCCTCAGCCTGGTGCCCTTCTGAAAACTCTTCCTATTTGTAAAGGGAAACTTTACGGACGCGGAGCTACGGACAACAAAGGCCCTGTTCTGGCTTGGATCAACGCTGTTAGCGCATTTGTAGCTCTTGAGCAGGTGGGTCTCCAGCTGTGCTGCAGGGAGGGGGTGGGGGTGGTGACTGTGATAAAGAATTTCGGGTAGCTTACTGAGCCCCAAGTTTTAAGCTGCGTGTGACCTTGACTCATTTGAGGGGTGCATTCCGGGTGACAATGAACAGGAGTGCTGGGGGCACAGTTGGTCACGCATCGGGCTGTTAGCCACAAGGTCAGCAGTTCGAGCCACCAGCCGGTCTACAGGAGACAAGTGGAACTTCCCCCACGAAGAGTGTCAGCCTCAGAAACCCACAGGGCAGTTCTCGGTCCCGCACAGGGTCACCGTGCATCAGAATCATCTCAGTGGCAATCAGTTTATTCTCATTGCACAGTAGCCCGGGACGCTGTGTGAGGTTTGGGGCTGCCAAGCACAGATCTTCGGGTCTTGGGAGAAAGATAAGACTGTCTGCTCCAGTGAATATTGTAGCCTCGGGAACCTCGATAAGACACTGTCGGTGGGGACAGGCTCCATTGGCAACAGGTTTAGGGTTTGCTTGATTCCAGTTATGCCCATTCTACAGATCAGGAGAGTGAGGCTTGGACAGTTGAGGAACCCACTTAAAGAGGCCCTGCTAGGAGCCCAGATGGCCCCCAACAAAGACCTGGACAGCAAAGACCTTTTAGACAAGAGGGAAATTATATCTGCCACAGCCCCAACAGTCCTGGCCGCGGGAGAAGGTGGTGTTGGCCAGCAGGCAGCCCGGGGGCCCTGTCTGCTGTCCTGGAAATTCGAGACAGGCTTATCATCAGAGACGCGCAAGCTGAGGATGGAAGATTTAATGATTCTGGACCCAGCTGCTCTGTTTTTGCAATTAGAATGCGCGTCAAACGCTGGCACGCAGTCTGGCTGGGCCCTGGCAACCCCTGCAGAGAGGTCATCTTCCTGAGCATGAACTAAACCCTGACCATTTCACAGGGCCGGGTGGCTCTGCCCCCACCCCGCCCACACCTCTGCCCTCTCTCACTCCATTCCTCTCTCTCTCTCTCCCTGCCCTCGTTCTCTTTCTCACAGAGGAGGAAAGGAATCTTTATAAGTAAGTTCCTATGTTAACTGAGTATAAAAGCCAAAATCAACTTTTCTTTTCCTTTTTTCATTTTAAACCCCAAAGTTACATAATCTCAAAGGGAACCTAAGAAGATTGGAGAGGCAGGCTCTTTGAGTTTCCCCTTGCTCCTCTGTGACTGAGGGCTCACAGTGTTTACCTGGCAGCCTCGTGGGGAAGATTCAGTCAAGCAATATTGGTCAGAGCTCTCAAATACCGCCTGAGAATAGGTGTGATGTGGTGTGTGTGTGTGTACCAAAGTTCAAGGAGAAAGGGAAGGGCAGCGCATGGACCTCCCCCACACCTGTTCTGAAGTCTGCTCTTACACACTGGGGCGACCTCGGAACCCCTCTTTGCAACCAGAGACAGAGCCCCGCTGCTGGGCACACAGCTACTGGAGGCATGGCATCCCCTCGATGGTACTGGTGTCCACTGCAGGCACCTTGGTGGCACTGTGGTTCTGGTCGGCGGTTTGAATGCCCCGTTGCTCTCCGGGAGAAAGCAATGGCAGTCAGCTCCCATAAAGAGTTACAGCCTCGGACGCTGCCCTGCAGGGTTGCTATGGGTCGGAACCGCCTTGCCAGACCCCGTGTTAGTGGGTTAAAGACCTCGGTGGTGCGGTGACGGAAGGCTTCCCTTTCCTATGGGATACCCAGTTCAGTCCTTGACCTACGTGCTTGCTGCACAACCACTAGCCACCTGTCCGGACACTTGTGTGTGGCTCAGAGGCTGCACAGACTTCTGGGAAACTTCCAGAGGGAGCCAGACTAGGAGGAAAGGCCTGGTGACCTGTGTGTGCACCAGCAGCTAACACCCTCCCCACCCTGTGAAATGAAAACTGCGGCCACTTTGTTTGTTCTCACCTGTTGCACTGTGGGTGGGGGGTTACATTTCGTCAACTGTGCATTTCACTGTCGAGGCAACTAGTCAACTGCCCGCCCCCCAACAACTCCCCTGCCCCCTGCTCCTTGATCTCTCTGCCTCCCTCCTGGGGGAAGCAGCATGCTCCCCACACCCAGGCGGCCCTCGTTAGCAGGTGGCTGGGCAGGTGTGGGCAGCGGGCTGATGAAAGCTCGGCCTGCCGTCCCTCCCAGGACCTTCCCGTGAACGTGAAGTTCTTCCTCGAAGGCATGGAGGAAGCCGGCTCCATTGCGCTCGAGGCCGCCCTGCGAAGGGAGAAGGACCGCTTCTTCTCCAGCGTGGACTACATTGTCATCTCTGACAACCTGTGGCTGAGCAGGAGGAAGCCAGCACTCACCTACGGCACCCGGGGCAACAGCTACTTCACCGTGGAGGTACTGCCACCCTGGGGGGCGCAGGGAGCCGTGGTTCCAAAGCAGGGGTCTTGGGGAGGAAGGGGGGAAGCCCTCTTCAAGGGCCTGTGCATCTGTGTGTTTCCGTGGATTGATTATTCAGCTGGGGGGAGGGGCGACTCCCAGGAGCCTTTGAGGTACAGATAGCTAATGCTCTCTGTAGCAGAAACTGAACCACAGGGTCTGGCTGAACTGGATCCACCGTATTGTAATGGAGAGGCCAAACAATTCACAAAGTGGGCATCGAAAGACCACAGGATTCTGAGCTGGAGAGCCAGGGAGAGACAGTCCAGGAATCAGTACAAGAAACTACAAGGCACTCATGCAGTAATTGTTCCTAGACTGGAGTTGACATGTAGATAGTGGTTACACCTGATTGGTAGGAGATTGCAGAAGCGCGTGGAATTGGTTTTTTAAGTGACAAAGTCATCATTACATTGGGTCCATCTGGCTGGAAACCACTGGCCCCTCCTTGCTCCCTGCAGGGGGACTGGGTCTTCTAAGGCTGATGTACAGCAGGCAAAATGCCGTTGTTCTTGGCAGCTGTTTGGGTTTCCCTGGAGGAGTGAACTCCCCCCACCCCGGCTCCTACCCTACAAACGCCTCTTTGGCGTTCGGGCTGAAGAACTACATAAACACGCGTGAGCGCCAACACGAGTGACCTCGGGACCGGTCGGCAACACTGGGCAGCACACGGGCCTGCTGGTGATGGTCCAGCCCTGTGCTGGTGCTGACCCGGGGTCCCGGGGGGAGTAGGGAGGCACTCCTCATGTGAGGCAACTCTTCATTCAGCACAGCCATTGTCTCCCTAAAAGGGAGCCCCAAAGTTAAGGTTGGAGACTCGAGTCCACCCTGAGCCATCACGGAAGAAAGGCCTGGCGACCTGCTCCTGCCGCATCCGCCACTGAAACCCTGGGCAGCTCGGCTTGGCCCTGACCCTTGGGGACGTCATGCGTTGGTGTCCACTGGACAGGTCACATTGAGCCTGGGGGCAGGCAACAGGAACAGGAAGGTCACAGAGGGTGGCCCGAGGAGGGGGAGGCTGCACCCAAGCCTCAGTGGCAAGAGGCCCAAGAACATGAGTGAGGGCCAGGAAAGGGGGTGCCAACCTCATGGGGACCTGCTCTGAGTCCTGGGTCCTGGTTCGGGCCTGCTAGTCCTGGAGCCTCGATTTCCTGGCCCTGAGGGTGGCATACTGCTTACCCGTGCAGGGCTGCGGTGGTCCCTAGGTGACACGGGGACCCAGTGTGATGCTGTGGCCCTCTCCGTAAGTGCTGACACTGTGCTGCAGCCTGCCACCTGGAATCGGAAAGCCCTTGCTCCTCAACCATTCCCTCTGTTCACTCACAAAAAATCAGGCAGAGTGAAAGATCCTAACCCACCCCTGCCACCCCCATCTGCTGCCAGATGGCAGTGCCCAGCAGATATGCCCGGGCATGTCAACAACGCCCCCCACGTGCACCAGGCGGCATCAGTGAGCTGGAAGTTGGGAATAGTGGGCAGTTCTCTTGCGTTTGGCTCCACCGGTCTCACTGCACCGCATCCCAGGCCCAGAAAGACCCGATGGGCCTGCCTTCAAGGAACTTCCTGCTGCAAAGAGACTTTTCCCAAGGCGAGGGAACTGCGCCCTCAGGCTTCTGAGACTAAATCTGTGGTAGTTACATAATTTTGCATCAGTTTGAAGCTATCAGTGTAGGGGTGGAGTCTGTCAGTCAGGTGGTGGGCGTGGCATTCTCATAAGGAGGGTCCTGGGAACCTACCTGCCTCTCTGCCTTCACCTTCCTCTTGGCGAGCCACGCCGAGACCTGTGAGAGCCCCGTGGTGGCCTGTGATGCGGCCACCACCATTGGATCCTCAGGACTCCGCACCCACTGACCTGGGATCCCCCTGCACTCTGCATCATTGCATGTGGCTGCCTGAGTCTGAGCAGGGACTTGTTATGGACCAGTATCGGACTTCTGGACTTGAGTTGGACTGGGCTGGGATGATTTCTTTTGATATAAAGCTCTCTCTTACACTTATATGAGTGTCTCTGGATTTTTCTCCGGTCAACCCAGCCTAACACAACATCTCTAAGAGAGCAGACAGCCTCCTCTTTCTCTCTGGAGCAGACGAGCCCTTCCCCAGCCCTTAACTCAAGATCACTGGGCTCTTTCCTGAAGTGTCTGAACTTTGAAAACCCAGGGGATGCAGCTCACTCTGTACAAACACAACCCACTGGATGGCAGTGGGTCAGTGATTAAGCACTCAGCTGCTAACAAATGTCATCAGTTTGAACCCATCCGCCATGCCATGGGAGAAGATGGGGCTTCTGTAATGATTACAGCCTTAGAAACCCTGTGTGGGCAATTCTCCTCGATCCTACAGGGTCCCTCTGAGGAGGAACGGGCTCAGTGGGAGTGGATCTGGA